ATTGAAGTTGATAAATCAAAAATATATCTTGTACGCCACTTACCCTCTCCCACTTTGGTGAAAGAGGTTCGTTCTTTTCTTAGACATGCAGGATTCTACAGACGATTCATCAAAGATTTTTCAAAGATCTCCATAGCCCTATGCCGACTCCTCCAAAAGGATGCGCCATTCAAGTTCAATGAGGAATGTGAGAATGCCTTCAATCACCTCAAGGAGATGCTAACTTCGGCCCCCATCATAGTTCCACCAGATTGGAGTCTTCCTTTTGAGCTCATGTGCAATGCCTCTGATTATGCAATAGGAGCTGTTTTAGGCCAAAGGAAGAACAAGCAGCCACATGTCATCTATTATGCATCCTAAACCTTGAATGACCTCAATTGAACTACTCCACCACTGAAAAAGAACTCCTTGGTGTTGTGTTTGCTTTAGATAAGTTTCGTTCTTATTTACTTGGCACTAAAGTTATTGTTTATTTTGACCATGCAGTGTTGAAATACTTACTCACAATAAAGAGGCCAAGCCAAGGCTAATTCACTGGATGCTTCTTTTCTAAGAGTTTGATATCGAAATTCAGGACAAGAAAAGAAGTGAAAACGTGGTGGCTGACCACTTGAGCCGTTTGGTGCACGATGAGGAGTCACTACCTATCCCAAAAACATTCCCAGATGAGCAATTATTCTCCATTGAGGTAAGTGAACCATGGTATGCTGATTTGGTGAATTATTTAGTGACAAAACAAGTACCAAGCACCCTAAATAAGCACCAATGTGATAAACTCAAGAAGGATGCACAGTTTTTTATGTGGGATAACCCATACTTGTGGAAATATTGCCCTGATCAGATTCTTCGTAGGTGTGTGCATGATTTTAAGTTTAATTCAATTTTAACTTTCTGTCACACTTATGCGTGTAGGGGTCATTTTGGCACATAACGCACATCCCTTAAAGTTTTAGAATGTGGATTTTATTGGCCTACTATCTTTAAGGATGCTAGAACTTTTTGTATAACTTGTGATCATTGTCAAAGAACGGGCAATATAAGTGCAAAAGATCAAATGCCGCAAACCCCTATCTTTTCTGTTGAGATTTTTGATGTTTGGGGTATTGATTTCATGGGTCCTTTTCCTTCATATCATGGTTTTAATTATATTTTACTTGTGGTTGATTATGTATCAAAATGGGTGGAAGCAAAAGCCACTCGTACTAATGATTCCAAAGTGGTTGTAGATTTTATCAATACTAACATTTTTTCCATATTTGGGATGCCGAGAGTGCTTATAAGTGATGGGGGGTTCCTATTTTTGCAATTGTACCATCGAGGCGCTGCTCAAGAAGTATAATGTCATGCAGAAGATTTCAACATCTTATCATCCTTAAACAAGTAGGCAAGTCGAGGTTTCTAATCGAGAAATCAAGTAGATTTTGGAGAAGATAATTGGGCCAACTCGAAAAGATTGGAGCTTACGTTTGAATGATGCATTGTGGGTGTATCATATAGCCTACAAAACACCAATTAGGATGTCTCCATTTCGGCTCATCTATGGGAAACCATGCCATCTCCCCGTAGAATTGGAGCACAAAGCACATTAGGCAATCAAAACGTTCAATATGGACATGGATGCGGCTGGACTTCATAGGAAGCTTCAATTGAATGGGCTTGAGGAGATTAGGAATGAGGCTTATAGAACGCTAGTATTTACAACTCCCGCCTTCGATTCCATGACAAGATGATTCGTAGTAAGACATTCTCAAAAGGGCAAAAAGTGTTACTTTTCAACTCCTGCCTTCGATTGTTTCCAGGTAAGTTACGTTCTAAATGGATTGGTCATTTTGTTGTTACTAATGTTCTTTTTCCTTATGGTGCAATCCAAATTCAAAGTTTAAAGACCGGACAAGAATTCAAAGTGAACGAACACCGTTTGAAGCCTTACTATGAGTATTTGGAGGAGCATGTGGTGGAGGATGTACCCCTCCATGCCGTTAGCCCTAGTGAAGCTTGAATGGAGGTATCGTCCGGCTGGAAGATGTTAAAGCAAGCGCTTCTTGGGAGGCAACCCATGTGTTCAAATAAAGAAGACCTAGGAATCTCCGACTCCAAAATCAGATTTGCGTTCCTTAACCCTACTCTTTATTGCTTTTACTTTGCCATAATTGTCATGTTTGTTAGTTGTGTTGTTTAATTGTTTGCGTGTGAGTCTATGTTTGAAACATTAAGGACAATGTTTGGTTTAAGTGTGGGCAGGGGGAGGGGGGTAAACAAAGTGTTTTTCTTGAATTTCGTCAGATTTTATCACCTATCACTTCTAAAGTTGTTACTCACTGTTTTGAAGTGTTTTTATTGTGTTTTGAAGTGTTTTAATGTGTTTTGAAAGGGAAATACGAAAATTTGAAAAAAAGTTTTGAAAAACCCAAAAAGAGTCGTTTTTGTGTGTTTGTGTCTTAGGGTACCTTCCAACACAATGATGAGGATTTGGTTTTTAATTGCATGATTGTTAAAGAAAGTTACAAGCCTGGATGGAAGTTTGATATACTCTTTGGTGAATGCTTAGTTGTAGTTGTCATTTACGAATTCACATGTAATCACAAAAAGAAAAAAAAATCATTTTTTGTAACATGCTTGAAGGAAGGAACTCAAACTAATGTTACAACCCTGAGAGACTTGAGCCTAAACTTTATTTGGAGAGTTATTAATCTGTGATGTTTTTGTTTTCTAAAGTCGTTGCATGATCTCATTATTTCTTTGCTTAGTTGCTACTTAGAATGCGTTTTCATCATTATAGTTCCAAATACTAGAACTCATGCCCATTTCATTCAAAGCATAATATTGAGTGCATAACATATAACAACATGAAGTTGTTTAGTTAAACCAGAGCAAAAAAGCCTTACCCTTTGCATTTGTGTTGTAGGTTTAACCCTTTTGAGCCTTACTTAGCCTATTTTCTTTGCTAGCCGCATTATCCTTACCTAGCCTAGAATAGGACTATCCATACCCTTGTCTTAAAGAATAGTGGAGCATGACTTAGAGGGAATTCCTTTTGATCTACATTATGCAGAAAAAACAAGTGTGGGGGAAGGTTTCTTGTTGGAAATTTATGAGGTTGTACGTTTTGTGTGCCAAAGAAAGAAAAGGGCACGAAAAAAGAAAAAAAGAAAAAAAACGTGAAAAAGAAAGAAAAAGAAAGGAAAAGAGTTGAGAACTAAGTGAGAATGAACTCACAAGTATTGGCTGTTGAAGAAAGGGTCCAAAAGTTTGAATCTGGCCCTAAGTGTTATGTGAATCTCCCATCGGTGTTTAAAGTTAATTTCTGCATTTAAAAGTGAATTCTAAGTGTTTATTTCATTACGTTGCTTATTATTGCTTTAAGAACCTTTGTTTATCCTTAACCTTTCTTTGTTAGCCAATACCTTAGCTCCGTTACAACCCTTTGACTTCTATCTTGATTGTTATGTGATTCAATATGTGGAGTTTGAAATTGGTATGAGCATATGGAATCCCTGGTTCTCGCGTCTAAGTAGTATCATTCCATTCATGAGATCATAGAGTCGTACTTGCCATTCAAGACTTTTGGATTGTTGGAGCGTTTCTAGGTGTATTCAATCTTCTGTTTTCAATGTTTAAATTTAATTATACTTGTTTAATTGCGAACATGATGAGCTAAACTCGTTTTAGCTAGAGGAGAATTCAAAGCCATGAACATATGTTTTATATGAATTGATTTCCTCCAATTATTGTTTCGTAAAACATGAATGCGATTTACTTATCTATTTGATTGATAACTTATTCTTGTATGTTGATTAAGGATGCATACTTAGTTTGCATGCATGGATTTGATGCTAAAATATAAGGGAATTTCACCTAATTGTTATGAACTTATATTTATAAGTAGTGGAAGTCACTAGTCATGATTGTGTTAGGTAAATCCATGGCAGGAGTATCATGCAGTTCATAGTTACGAATACCTTGTTAATGCTTATGATTTTCATAAAACTTAATAATCTTTGATATGTATCTCTATCATGTTGTTCATATAGGGAACTTGATAAGAATAGTTTGATTGCGTCACTGAGTCCAATTCAATGAATTAAGGAAAATTTGATGGTTAATTTGTGCAGTTCTTGGTTAACTAGGGGCATTGTCATTCATGATTTATTGGAATAATAATTGGAAATCGATTCTTATGCATATGTGTCATGTGTGGAGAACGACCCTCTAGCTAGCCTATCACCCATCAATTCACCCAAATTCGTATCAATTTACTTTGTTTCTGTAACTTATTTGTTTAAGTTTTAAATTCGTCAAAACAAACCCCCATTTAGTATATTGATTCTTTTTGGTTTAATTTTCGTCCAAACTTGTCTCTAGTTCATGTTTTGAGTCAATTTGCTTGTTTTGTGCTGTTTTGAGTCATTCTAGTTTGTTTTGAGTCATTAGAGTCTAGTTTAGTGTTTTAGAGTTTAAAATTGTGTAGATTAGCATCCCTCCTAATCCCCGGTCTCGAACGATCCCTACTTATTCATACTACAACAACATAAAAATGGTTTAATTTGTGTGCTATTTTATATCACACCAATATTTCTTTGTGTCCTTTTTTGTTTCCTTGGAGAACAAGGACTGTATGTACTATATATCAAATTATGCAATGCATCAAAATTAAGCCGTAAAATTCTATTGAAAGTACCTTCTTTTATTTTTTTTTTCATTTAATTGGGTTATTTTTGCAAGCACATATTGGGTGGTGTTGTTTTATTGTGTTTAAGCCGAAATTAAACAAGTACATTTTGTTTTTCTTGTTAGATCTCTGTTTTTTCTCTAACAGTTAAAATTTTCTATCTTTTTCAATTTGGTTTTAGTTCACAAATATAGAATACATTCTTCTCTCTCTGATCTTATCTTCTTCCTCCTTCAAACTCTTAACCAAATTGAGAAATTCCAGAAATTAGCAAAATGGCAATCAAATCCCAACAATAATATCATCAAAAACAACTTCATCAACATTCGAATTCATGATAACCATGTGTATTCTTTTTATTGTATCGCATATATATGGGGTGAGATAACTGGGCACAAGGCACCCTTATTCAACTCAAACTTACATACTCAGAGACATGATTCTGTGACTCCTATCCAAATGTGAGTTGGTACTTGGGTTGTTTGTTAGGGGAGAAAACTCCAAAGTGTTTCTCAACTGGTTTACCGTCCTTGAGATTTTCATCAAACATTGCAAAAAGATAAGTCTCTATAGCTTTACCAGGCCTCTTTGGAGTCCCAGTAGTACTCGTCACATGGTTGATCAAATTCTGGTAGAATGTGGCTGCGTTCTGAGGGGTTGCTTGATCACCACCTTCAGAAGGCCAACCGCTCTCCGATACGACTATCTCCATACTTGGTGCACCAGCTTTTTCAAGAGCTGCGTACTGAGCGTCCAGAAGAGCGTCAAAGAGGCTAGGGTATCGAGTCCCATCCGGCACTACAACCCCTTGCGAAGTGAATAAGGCATAGGCAAGGTCTATGCTAGGGTTTTCAGTGTAGCTGATGTAAGGGTACACATTCACAAGGAGTGGGGCCCCACTGCTGACGAGGAAGTCGATGACTGGTTGTATGAATTGATTTGCAGCGTCATATACTCCATCGGAGGGAGGGAAGGGATTGACCACAAGAGTTGTGTCAATTGCTGTAGAGACTTTGATTTGGCCTTGCAGATTGGCTGCTACAATTGCACTGTGGATGTTTTGGATGGCAGGCAGGAGAGACCGAACCTCTGCAGAATCGCGGTGTATTTCGTTTCCAACAGCGATGTATTTGAATCGAACATCAGCTGAATAGGGTTGTACGTTCTTCTGGACCCAGGCAGTTGCAGCAGCTGCATCATTGAGGGCTGGAAGCTCGCTGTTGAGGATGGTGACTGTGAGTTCTATGTTGGAACCCCTAAGGGCTTGCAAGGTTGCTTCATTTGGTTCATAGATCCTCATCCGTCCAATGCCATTGCTTTTGTACAAGTCGACCACTTCTCCTTCAGCTGGTAAATTGTTGCCGTTTCGTCCATAACAAACACCAACAGATTGTGCACCTGAAATAAGTAGATGATTTGATCCAAAATGTGGTGAGTTTTGGGTTGCGGGAGAGAAAAAAGTAGAATTTCCCGTAAGAAATGTTTGAAAGGATCAAACTTCTAGTTAAATACTCCATAGCTACAATTTCATCTAATTAAGATATTTGACAGTTGGAGCAACACTATAGAAAGAGCAACCAAACGAGACTCTTTTCTTTCGCTGCGCGAATTTTCAGTTATTTGTAGAAATTAAATTACCTAGTTTTTATTTTTCATGCTTGAATTATGAGGAACGTATATAGTGAAAATGATGAATGAAGAAGAGTGGGTGAAGGCTGGTATAAGAGAGAGATGTAAAATAATTCTCCAATAAGAAAAATAAACTTAAAATTTGGACAAAATCAAAATTTATAAATTGACATGTATCAATTTCCTTGTAGGAATTCATAGATATAAAAATTTAAAATTTTATTTCTAACCAAGCTTAGAAAACAGTTTTGATAATTATAAGGGCACACAAAAAGAAAACAAGAATAATATTCGTCCCTCCTCTATTTTATACTTTCATTCATATCTATGCACAAAAAATAATAATTAAATATCAATAACCATATAATTATCAAACGGACTTTTAACTAAAACATGTAAATATACAGAAACAACGGTTGAAGAAAAATCCTCACGTCCGTCTAACCAATTAAGCTAGAAAACAGTTTTAATTAATTATATTCTAAAGGCCATAATTAAAAAAACTTAAAAACGAATATATATGTATGTGCTGTTTATGTCATGAAAATGCAAACTACAGACAGAGGCATGAAAGTAAGACAGACCTGTTATTTGCAGGGCTGGCATCAAGACTACAAGTAGTAGCAATATGGAAGCCATGAGAGCTCTTCCAGTTTTATACATGTTGGGAAAAATGCATGAAGCTATTGGAGAAATATATAACTTAACTAACATATTTTGATTATATATATAGGCGGCTGCCTTGGTAATGTGGAGTTTTTTTCCCCAAACCATTAAGAATTAGGCAACGACTAATTCACTGCGTGGACTAAGGATGACAACGACTACATGCAGTTCATCGAAAATATGATAACATCATGAAAACCTGCCAGATCCGTAGTTAGGAAGAGGAGTTTTCAAGTGAAATTGATTAACCTAAATAAATAAACAAAATTGTGGTCAATTTTCACAATTCATCTATCTATGTGGTTTGACGTCCATCACAGTTTGGTCCATGTCTTTGAAACAAAAACCATAAATTTATCAATGTTACACTAACATTCGCGGCCTAGGATAATTCTTGTCACGTTGCGTGAATCATTGATGTTTTAGAAAATTTATTGAAATTAGTCATTTTACAAATTTTAATTGTTGAACCGATTAAAATCACATATATATGGTCAAATAATTTTTTCCTCATGAGAAATAAGTTAGGGCTCATTTGGAAGTATTTGTAAAATGATTGAAAGTGTTTTTGGTGAAATTGATTTTGAGGTCCAAAAGCATTTTAAGTGCTTTTTGGCAAAAACAACAATTATGTGCTTTTTGCAGGAAGCACTTAAAGTACTTTTTCATAATCTACTTGAATTTTTACTAGGGATTGGTTTTAAAAATATTTTCACCAAAAACGCTTTCAATTGATTTAAAAACACTTTAAAACGAGCCCTTAATTTCTCAAGAGTGGTTTTCATTGTGGCAGCTACGCACCCATGGTTCTTGTGTTAAGTATTATTGTGTTTTGTAGTGGTGGTTATGTAGGAATTTATTATTGTGTTTTGTTGTGCGTATTAAAGATTTGATCACTGTAGAAAGATGCACCAAGTCAGCACCCCTCTTGTAGTCATCGTCGGCATTTCCAATTTCCTTGAAAAGTCATTGAGATCAATTATACTCCAAAACAGCTGGGGTTCCATATTTCAAAGTCTAGAATCCGCTTACAAAATGACAGTTCAACTAGACAGTGATTTGAACAACGACAAGTGTTGGAAAATTCAAATTCAAGGTGGCTTAATTTCAAGACTAGACTAGTATATGCAACTTTTCACACGTCTTGGGCTGAAACATTTTCATTTATACTTGTTTCATACGTGGATATGACCATAGCGTGTATATATAATGTAACGACCTGTTCCTAAAAATTATAGTTTTTATAAATTAAAAAATGAATTTATGAAAATGCCTTCAAGGTAAATGCATTGACCTTGTTTGAGCCTTCGTGTCACGTAAGATCTATTTTCTTGGCGTATCATCGTAGTATTTGTCGCTACGAATGCGTAGGCGCAAACCGTTCGTGAAACGGAGTTATAACCAAGGCAGTATTAATGATCGAAGTTAGGGTTAAAATGGTAATTTTGTTTTATTTGGCGGAAGGCTCCAGAAATTTGGGAGCCTTCCCATCACATTTTAAACCATGTGGAGGGCGGGGCAAGAAGGAAACTACCCAATCAGAAACAGAAGAAAGGAGGGAAAATGAGAGAAGAGAGAAGAAGGGGATTATCCCCAACCCGTTTTCCTTTTTGTCGGCTCGACCCGAGTTCGAGTTATCTGGCGCCGATTCCGACGTTTTCCCGGCGATCTGGGCATTGTCACCGCCACCAAACGAACCAGCATGGACCCAACTTCCATTTCCAACCCAGCTTGACGGCTATGGGTGGCTATTTCATGACGACAAAAGTCGTCTTCTCCGGTGAGTCCGAGAGCACCCACAACGGAATTTCGTCGTTTCTGAAGCTACCACTATGGGTCGACTCCCCTCAACCCCAGGAACAAACTCCAAAAAGGTTTGGGGGCGGCGGAGCTTTGAATTTGACGAATCGAGGTTCACCCACTTTCGGGATTTCCGGTGGATTTGTGGAAAATTGGAGCTTTTCCCGGCCAAATTAGCCTTGGCCACAGGTATGAAACTTACTTTACTCATTGAGATCTTCATTCTACTAAAATTTGAGAATTTTTGGAAATAGTTGAATTTTTCCAGCGAGTTGGAGCGGCCGACCGTCACCACGACGGCACATGGCCAGAGGGCCGTCAACGCTATTTTTAGGCTAAATTAGATGCTTTGAGTTCAGTTCTGATAATCGTATGACGTAGGTTGATTGTTGGAACGTAAATTCTCTACGATACGTTAATAGGTCATTATATAAATCGACGATCCAACCGTTGGATCGCCATCAAACTGTAATAGGTTATTATTCGTAATATTTGAGGACTGTAGGAACTTATGGATCGGGAATCTGACGTATGGATCTTCACAAATTGGATTTGTATGTTCATAAAATAAAATGGTAACCGCCACTTGAATTTGCAATTGGCAAATCCAACCGTTGGATCGTAATGAAACTTTAGTATGTTGTTCTAGAAGCATAATATGGATCTTTGGAAGTTACAGATTGGAAATTTGAGATGCGGATCTTCCGGATCCAGTTATGTAGGGTTGTGAACCCTACCAACAATCTTTGACCGACGGTTGACTTGTGGTCATTGGGTCTCAAATTATTCTAGAACGTCCTTGGGGATGTGTTTTATATAAATTACGTGTTCTATCAGTAAGGATTATGAGATGTGGTTTAATATTTGTTCTAGGCGACGATCGTTCGAGACATTTCGATATTCGTGCTAGGGAGTGGAGCGTGGACCTTAGGTGAGTGGGATTTTTGGTTTTCTATATATATATACACGTATATATGCTTTACATGTTCCCAAAACTATGTTAAATGGATTTACATTTTTAAATGCTATGTCAATTATATTACATGTTAGTATACACATTAGTATGCATATGCATAACATTTGTTGCTGCTATGGAGGCCAGGTAAGTTTCAGGTGAGTATATCATGATGATAGTGAGTATGGTTATGATTAGTTGTATTTAGTGCTCATTACTCTACACCTCGGTGTTAGTGCTCCTGCCTGTGGCAAGGGCACAGTCCTTCACGTGATGTTCACCTCTCGCACCACACGTTCACCTTGGATCCAAGTTTGGTGCACAGTCCTATTGTACAGACCACATTAGGTGGTTCCGACTCGTGTGCAAGAGTTGATTGATGGGTTATAGGTTCAGCCGTACAGGTCACGTTAGGTAACTCTGGCTGACATATCTTTTTGCATTAAATTATATCACCTGACATACATGATTACAGCTGAGGTACTTGACATAGCATATACTCAATTTCCATTGTTTTCGAAAATGGTTTCTAATTACATATGTAGTATTGTGATAGGAGCATATTCATGCGACTTAATTAGCTTGTTCTCGTGCATTTATGTTGTGTTTCCTTAGTTATTTTAGGGTTTAAAGTCACTTTTGTGTATTTTCAGATTACAAGGCCAAAGTGTGCAAGAAGATGCAAATTGGAGTCTTTTGGAGCAAATGAGGAATGAATGAGTTGAAGACTTGAAGAAACGATGAATTCCTACTCCAACAAGGATTCCTACTTGAAGTAGGAAAGTTAACCCTAGGTTTCCCGTTTTGGTAACCTTTCCTAATCTTAAACGTCCGTATTTTCTAGCCACTTTGAAGGCCTTGTAGGCACTTTAAGACACAAAACGAAGGCCCTAGGCCCCTTAAACCCCTTTGCCGTGGCCTCTCCCTTTCTTTCCTTCCCTTGCCGTGCAAGGGGGGCATTTTTGTCCAAAGTTATGCACTTAAACCTTATTTCCCTTCCTAAACTAAACCCTAGCCTCACCTTGCAGCCACTTCCCTTTTAATTTCTGATTTTATTTCCTAATTCTAGCAGCCTTTGACTTAATTTTAGTTAATAAAAATAAGCTAGGGTTTTAATTTCTAAAACCCTATATAAACTAAGCCCAGCCGCACCCTAGGGTTGATTATGATTCATTCTATTCAATTTTCAGCCACATTCCATTCTCTTGCCGCAGCCACCATCCTCTTTCCCCTTTAATTCGCAGCCTTCTTCATCAATTCCAGCCACTTCCCATCTCTACCGCAACCATCCCCACCCTTCCAGCCACCATTCAAACCTTCCTCCACCACTCACACCCCTTGCCGCACCACCATATCCCCATAAACCCATCCCTAAACCAGAAAAACATCCAAAAATCCATAAAACCTTCTCTGCCACAACAAGGAGAAGAAGAAAGAGGAGCTTAAACGTGCAGAAATTCAAGTGGATTCCTTGGGCGTTTTAGGTGTAATCAATCTTTTGTTCTTTATGTTTAATTTCAATTTTGTTTCTCTTTCTGTGAACATGAGAGGCTAAATCCCTAGTTAGCTAGGGGGTGATTCGAAACCATGTTTATGCTTGCAATATAAATTGATTACCTTTGGTTGGAATTTCATGAGTTATGGATTCAATTCGTTTAACTGCTTGATTGATAACTTATTTGTGTATGTTTATTGAGAGTGCACACTTAGTTTTCATGCATGAATATGATGCTAGAATATAAGTGAGTTTCACCTAATAGTTACAAACTTATATTCACAAGTAGTGGAGGTTGCTTATAAACAATCGCGTTAAATGAATTCTTGGCACTAGTTTCATGCTCATCATAGTAACGAATGCTTCGTCAACACTTATAGTTTTCATGTTGCTTAATGATCTTTGATTGTATTTTTATTGTGCTTTTCACGTAAAGGACTTTTGGATAATGTTTTGAATTGTGTATGCGCTGTCCCATCCGATTCATTAACTTAAGGAGAACTTAAAGGTTAATTTAAGCGAACCTAATTAACCTGGGGTGTTGAGTTTCATGATTCATCGAAAGACCAACTGAAAATCATCTTATATGCAAGTGTGACATGTGTGGAGAAGAACCATCTAGCTAGCATTCCATCCATATTTTCATCAAATTCGTATTTACATTCTGTTTTATTACAATCTGTGCATTTTGTTTAATTTCGTCAAAAAAACTCAATCCCCCCAAATTCGTCCAAATTAGTGTAAGTGCTCAAAACTGTCCAGATTGTGTTTTTAAGGCAGTTTTGAGTGTTTTGGGTGCTGTTTGAGTCTTTTGGTTTGTTTTAGTGTTTTAAGTGTTTAGTTTTGCATTCTTTGAG